TTTTTAATAAATATATAGAGTTAAGTTTTGAGGTCATGAATTATGTCCTTTTCCTTAATCCACCGCTATGTGAACACGCTACTGGCCCTTTTTAGTTTAAGATGGATAGAATAAATAATGAAATATGCATTATCACATGAAATATCACATGAAATAAAGATATGTTTCTAAGCACATTGTTATGCATTTTCATTACTTGAGGCTTTTATCATGTATAGTTGATTCAATATATAATGTACAAAAATTTTAATGCTCAGTTACTTCAACCTTGATAAACATGTCATTTTCCGGCACTTTTTGTACATATAAATTGTTGAGGTCACTTTGATATGAACTTCACTACCGTGTTTCAATTTTGTCATATGTTGTTCTGTAATCTATAGTTTCAAATTAATTTTGCATTGTTTCTATCATTTTTATGGAAATGTGTTGGCAATAAAAGATTTTTGCTGGTACGGATTAAAACTCTTGCTCAGTTGGAAGCTGCCTTTTCATTTCTTGTTGCTACTGCTTCGGATGATTTCAAGGTCAATGGTTTTGAAGCAGCCTATGGTGTTGATGAGACATAATGACTAATTTCATTGCTCTATAGTTGTAATAAATATTTTGGTTCCATAGCCATTTATAAAGAGGCACGTGAACTTCTGCGACAGAGCAGCTCCAATTTTTTTTTTTTTTTTGTGTGTAGTCGTGATTACTTCTTACAAATACTTTATAAACAAGTGTTCTCTTGCAACTAATCAGAGAATTTGATTTTCTTTTTCACTTATTCAATTGAGGTTACTTTGGGAGATATCGAACACGCTATCACTCAGATTTTTAAAGAGAATAAAGATGTTATTGTGGACCAACGCTATACAACGAATGACTGGTTTATTTTTACTTGATAGGAACTGTGAACCCATAAGTTTCTTTTCGTTTTTAATGGGAATTCTATCCCCTATATTTTAGCTTTATCAAGACCGTGGCTTACTGACTCATTGTGTAGTCGTGTATGGAGCTAGAACTCAACTTAGTTATTCTCATATGTTCTTTTACTTTTGCATGGATAATGTGTTATGTTGGTACAAGAGAATTAAGTTGTGGTCTTTTTTTTTAATGATTTCTTAGATTAATGTCCTTTTTTTTTTCGTAAATTTGTTGAATTTTAGGTAATACCAAGCCAACACCACAAACTACTCAATCGTGAAGTTGTATATGGACGAAATTGAAGGGCTCTTGGATGAGGATGACATTGACCATTCAGCTGCACAGGTAACTCATATGTTGAAATATTAGACCTCGTGCTAAATTTATTTATTGCAACATAATAGAAGTCCAAACAATGTATTCATAACATTCTGTTTCAAATGGCCAACACGAGGAGCCTGATATTCAGCTATTTACACCAAGCACCAAGGCATGACTAGAAGAATATGGAAGCACCGCCATGAATATTAATATACCAGATCCCTCAAGGACAAACGCAACACGCGTGTTGCCGTTTGGATGGCACTGCTACTTCCTCCTCCAATCCTCCAATAGACAACACCTGTGCCCATGCATCCTGC